CACACACACACACACAGTAAGTTGTGTCAGTTACACCACAAGTAACTCCAACACATTTAGTTAACTAACAACCAAGTCTGAATACACACACAGTTGGTCGGAAACTAAATGGTCCTTGCCTCCGGAAGAAAAATCTACCCACTTTAACACGTCTCACATATTTCCAAATATTCCACAAGCAAGAGCGTTAAATGTACAACTGCTGGGTTAATCATTTGAAATGCACTGGAAAGACTGACGCACAAGACGGTGGTAGGACAAACAGGGCTTGACAGGGCCCAGACTATACTGTCAGATGTAACCAAAGCCGATCCCAGCACTCTTCCATTTAACATAACTCAATTTAGACCGGAGGAAGGAATCAGGTCCGCCTCATTCGTCTCAGGCAGGGGCTCACCCTCTATGTTTAACTTCTGGTCCAGGACAAATAAACAACTTATAGTCCCGTCGAATATCAGGCCATCCAATCCATCCTGATGTAATTTTGCCTTTCTCTGAAGGGGATCAGCCGCATAAATGGAACAAGAAACAAGAAGGAATCCACAAAGTATGTGAGGGTTGTTCTTCGCAACTCTGCTGGGTGACAAGGTCTTACTTTGTTGATGGTGAACTCTCCCTCAAAGCGACAGCCATCACCCTGGTTGAGAGGAATCTTCATCGAGTTGTCTATGTGACCAACCTCGTGGCGGCCCATTTCATCCTGGATGTCCAAACCCACCACTGAAAAAGACAAGCAGACATGGGAGAGAATTGAAATCTATAACAAACAAGAAAGACTATGAACTCAAATATTATACAGTTTCAGTTTCATCTGCTGGTTCCAAACTATTTTAGCGCTGAGACAATTCAATTCAAGTCAATTCATCAGTCAAAACAATGGAAATGTGATAGTTGATTAATCTCTTAAATAATCTAAGTAAAAATACCAAACTGCAACAACACATCAATTGATCTATTTATTTTCTGATTAATTGATTAGTTTTAGTGATTAGTTTAGTCTTAAAATAAAAAAAAAAAGATAACAGTGAGCTAACAATGTACAATTACAATTCACAATTCAAACATATGCAATTTACAATGACTTAACACACAGAAAAGTAGAAAATCCACACATTTGAAAAGCAGGAACTAGAGAATGTTTGATTTTATTTGTTTCTTAATGAATCATTAATCGAACATTTGCTTCTTTTCTCTGTTTTGTAGGATAATTTGGATCTTTATTCCGGTCCCAAAGTTCAATAAGTGCTCACACAGCCACAGAATTACGAATTAATATCAAAACAAACATTGTAATAAATGGAAAATCTTTCGGGTTTAGACTGTTGGTAAGACAAAACAAGTTATTTGAAGAAGTCACCACCATGTGACAGGCATTTTCCAGATTGTTTAGACTCTTTATAGACTAAATGAATCAAAGAAATTATTGCTAGATTAACCGATAATCAGAATAGTCAATAGTTGCAGCTCAAATAACAAGCCCTTTTTATTAACAGTGGAAGAAATTCTGAATATCATTGCAGAGCGTGTCCCACAGAGTAAACACACAAAGTCCAAACAGACCACCTATCCTGCCCTTCTGTGTTTTTCCATCTAGACTTCAGTAACCCCCCTCCTGCAGGCCGCCGTGTGTTGGCACACCGGCAGTGGCCTATTTTCAGAGCCTGCCTGCGCTGTGTGTTGGCCAGCAGTGCAAAGAGGGACGTCTGCTGGACCTGTGCTAAAACCTCCACATGCTATCCGACCTTTGACATTCAAGACAAGTGCCCCATATCCAGATCTCAAAATAAAGTGCACAAATATAAGTGAAGTCTGCCACTGTGAGTGTGTCTGAGCCGCTCGTTTCTCCTTTTTAAGACATTTAGACCTGGAAGTGTGTTCATGTAAAGTGGATCCAGGGTGGCGGTAGGGCTGGGGGGGCGAATTATTATAAGGTTACTACACGCGGTTCTGCTTTTCCATGAAGTCACAAATCAAGACCTGGCAACCCGTAAAAGGTCAGTGGAGGGAAACGGTGTTTAACTCTGGAACGACACAACAGAGCATAGCAGATAAATAGTAAAAAGAGATGGAAATGCCAGCTTTTCCATGATGAAATGATTTCTCCCTCCAAGAAAATCTGTAATGGATGACAACCTGTTTGGAGGCTTGGAAAATAAACTGATGTACAATATTAACTCGCTGGGAGAATGGCTGAGAAACATTTCTGCTCATTACATGCAGCTGCAGTGAGGTTAGACCAACGTGTTTGAGCTGGTATTTAAGAGGGCCCCACATTTCTGCAAAAAAAAAATTATAATCTGCAAATAAACAAAACCACCATACACACAACCATCAAGAGCTTTAATTGGAAACGGCAGGAGACGGCCTTTGTTTAGGCATGCCATGAGTGAGCTCGCCTAAACACATGGCCGACAGCTGTGCGTCCGCATGCCAAACCCTCTCTCGCACAAAGCTGGACTTCATTTTTCACACAAGCATTTATTAGCTTTGCCATTTTTGGATATCGCTCGATTCCAACCAATTGTGTGCGTTTCGTGTGCCGCCCAAGCCTTGCCAACGTGCGTTTTGGGTGTGTATGTGTGTGTGTGCGTGCGTGCGATTTGTCATCGGGCATAGTTTCTGACGGGAGTCATGAGGAGCAAATAACTGGTGACGCTGCTCTCCATCCTTGCAAGCTTCAGCCGGGACTGCCCACTTCTCTGACACCGAAGTGCAGCAGGCGAGCCAACAGAAGTAACTTTGTGTCAAAATCAGATCGCAGCTGTGTGGCAGAGATCAAACGCAGGCGGCACAGGCTGGAGGCCGGGCTAAACTCTAGTGTTATTGAGGAGCGTGCCACAACACAACCGGGTAAACAAACCATTATGTATTTTTGAGCCTACTTCTTTATCTCAGGCATCATTATCTGTTGCCAATATGCCGCGTTAAAAGATAGCGGCGCTGTCAGATAAGGGGAAAACCAAACTGTAAAAAGGAGGTTATACACAATGTGAGAAAGAAAAACATACAAACAGGAAGTGTAATGCAAAAGAAATTGAGTGTTGTATAAAATGTATATATTATGTATATACTCACAATCACAGTGTAAGTTTGGCAAACTGATGTTTAAACTCACTTCTATCTTCCCACCACTGTCTTTATCAGGATCATCCACATAGAGTTCATTTACACTGGAATGGACAGGAAAGGGGGAAAAAAATGGTTAGATAAGCTGAAACCAAAACCAAACTTTTAAAGAGTAATACGTTGTTGTTTTTTTTGACTCAAACAATTTGAGTGTCCTTTGCACATTACGTTAACAGTCATCCTCTGCCAAATTGAAAGGAAAAGAGCATTTGTGTATTTCTATCGGTGTAATTTCCTTCCCGTCACACCCTCCCCAAGTCATCCCTTATTACACATTGCCAAGAGGCTGACGCATGCACAAAGCCAATTTCCTGTGAGAAAACCCACTCTAGTCATTGGTTACAACACGGTCAGAGCAGAAAACATCATAATAGGGGCATTGACATTCATGATGAAGTCCCTGTCTTGTATATTTCAGACTGCAGGTCCTTCGCCCGTGTGGCAACGAAGGAACGGTCTCTAGATTAGTGTGTTTCAGTTACAGGATATTACAAGACACAAGTTTATTCTTTGATTTGATACCGTAATACCTACATTTCAGTGGCTATGAATCCCGTCAGCTCAGACAGGAACAGGAAGAGAATAAAGACGCAGCAGAGAATGGAAACTGTGGACAGAGAGGAAGAAAAGTTTGAATTAATACTTTGTTTAAACATAAGCCAGTATGCTGATTTTACTTATGGCACTTCTTTCACATTAATCTCAAATTACACCAGAATTTCAAGGGATGATGAAAACCAAATGAGGCAGGCTGTTCCAGCCTTTAGGAATGGCTGACCTAACATATTGACATTAATGAAATCACAGCCATAAAAGATTTCCTTAAATAGCTGTTTTACTAATGGTGTGAAGCCTGCCATTACGCAGGTTTTTAAAGAGACCCTCCTACACTAATTACACATTAAATACCATCTCAACAGGCAGCCATTACAGCATATCTGCTTTGAGAGAGGTGAGCTCATGCTACGTAAGTCCTACAAACAGTTCATTCTAGGTTTCCTTAGACAAACTCACACACTGACAATCACACGGACCAAAAATGGCTCCTGCAAAGAAGCTTCCACTAAGAGCTAGACAGAAACCAAATTAGGAATATTAAGAGTAAAATTTCAGTATTTTTGGTTAGTTTGAGCCAAAATAAAGTCTAAGCTTAAAAGATGAAGCGGTCAGGCTTGTCTGTTTTCATGTGTCAAACTAATCCACCAAAGGGTCATATAAAACGTTGTCGGGTGTGTACTGAGATAAAAGTGGAAGGAACTGATCTGTGTCTGCGCAACTGTGGTCTATCTGGTATGACGAGAGCCTCGTCCAGAAAGCTCTCACTCAGCAGGTGAGGCGTGTTTACGTGGCAACTGTCTCCTAGGATCGCACAGTCACATGACCTTGTGGTTGGCAGGGCCGAACCTGCGGCTGGGGGAGGCTTTACATAAGGTAATGTTTAACCAACAAACAATGGGGAGTGTTGCTATGACACATAGGCCACCAATCCAAGTTCATCAAAAGACTTGTACAGTAATTCTTCTCAGGCTTCAAAGGGCGCAATACTGAAAGAGGATTACTTAAGATCAGAGTAATGGGCTGCTACTGATTTAAACCGCAACAGCTCCGCAATGGAAATACTAACAAGCCAAAATGATTTACAAAAGACTTCACATGACTGTCTTTTTTATTTTAACTAGAGATCATCCTTCCCAGGGCCCACACATAGGATAAAATGGGCTCAAACGTAACTTCATTCTAACAAAGAGGAAACATTTTTTTTCTCTCTGAGCTGTGACACAAAGAATCGGATACAATAACACCATGAATCAGTCGGTGACATCCGAAACTAGCCCTGCATTTTCGTAATCAGATGTGATGATTTATTTCTGTGCTGCCAAAGGTTCCCCCACACAGCACAGTAAAATTAGAATTTTCTATCAGCAAAGGCAGGACATACAAATATTATGACTGAAAATCAGTCACACAAGTGGACTGGTATGCCCCGGAGACCACTGTGGCCAAAACATAGGTACTGTTCACAGTAAATACCGTAAAAATTTAGCTCAAAAGAATGTGGCCCTAAAACAAAATAACAAAAGCAGACAGGGTCAAATATTTGGCCTTTTGTGAAGAAAGGGGGAGTCTGTTTCTGGTTCCCTCTGAACCACACAAGCCAGAATGTGAGTTGACCTGCAGCGGGTGAAGCAATAACAGTCATCTAATATCCGAATCAACTCAATGCCCTCAGCCCTAGACAGTGGATGGAGACAGGAAGGGTGTTGATTGTGTACAGGAAGAACTTCTATCCATTTCCTCAATGGGTGGAAACTGTATGTGTATCTTTAGCAAACTCATTCTCTTCCCCTGTGATCCAGGAAGGTGTTTGTAATCTGCTAAAAGGCATTCACTATTCAGAGGCAGCACTGCTTATCTGTCATCAGTTTGGTTCGGGGGGTTTGACACTTTGTTCTACCCTGCGCTGTCATCAGCTGACCAATAAATAATCAACTCTAGAATACGACTGAGGAGCCAAAAATGTGTGATCAGGTCTTTCAGCTCTATCAAGGAGTGAATAATCAATACAATCACTTGTTATAAAATGACTTATTGATGACAAGCAGGAAAACACATGACCTGACAGGAAAAGCATTCAGATTTCTACTGATGACTTATCAGGTGCCTCGGGCTGTGAAAGAACATGATCATTAACATTCTTACCATACTAGTTGTGCTAAGACAGGTACGGCCCCGTGCTGAATGACTCCGTCAACACGTACCTCTGCGCTGGGACAGGCAGGTACTTGAATTAGAGCTGTCAACTCCTCCCCATCCTAAACTGTTCCTCAATACCTCCTCAAGCAGTGCCAAGTACCACTTTCCACTTACCTTCTAATTAAAAGCCTACAAGTAAAACTCAATAGGTATGCTAAAGACTACCTCTTAAGTCGTGCTAAGATTACAGAGTTATTAGTTTTTGCTATTTAAGAGCAGAGACCATGGTATGTGATAGAAGACATGTGTGGTGGCAATTTGTTTAATAAAGCTACAAAGTATGATCTTGTCTTTCTTAAGGTTTTATCAAGTCATCTAGAATGGTCTCAACGCAACCGTTCACACACTTCGTATGTGTAGCATAAAAGAGCCTGATTGGAAGAAGCAGTATGTTTTTATCCCTGTTGGAGTTTGGTACAGTAAACAAGACAGATAGTGTCGGTGAGAGATATGTCCTTGGGTTCTAGTGAAGTCTCAACATCCGCTGTTTTACGGAATTGAGTGTGTTTTATCTATATATATATATTATATGAAATAGAGAAAGTTATATACATATAAATATCCTCTTTAACGTTGCGTATGGTTATCAATGACCGCAGGTAGGTTGTATAGGTTCGTAAAAATTGCCATTACACATGCTTATCAGGTAAACCAAATTCCTTTATAATCTAAACATGTATTATTTGGTTGAAAGAAAACAGACCTAACTTTCACAATATTGAGTTACTACCCTTTAAAGCTAAATCAGCTCCATCATTTACTTAAAAGCTAATTATGAATAGGGTTAAAGGAATAATTTGATATTTTAGGTACACACTATTTGCTTTCTTCCTGAGAGTAAGGTAAGAAGATTGATAGTACTTTTATGTCTGCGTGTTAAATATGAAGGTAGAGCTGACAGACGCTTAGCTTAGCATAAGGACTGGAAATAGCTGGAAACAGCTAGCCTCGCTTTGTCCAGTGATCACTGACCAGCTTCCCAGATATTCTGAAGCTCACTAATGAACACGTTATATCTTGTTTGTTTAATCCATACAAAAACTGTATGTTTGAAAAAGTGTAAAAATGACTTGGTGGTTTTAATGTAAAGCTAGGGCCAATAGCAAGCTGAGCTTAGCACAAAGACTGGAAACAGCTAGCTTGGCTCTGTCCAAACAAATCCAACCACCAGCAACTCTAAGACATTTAATCCAGACAAAAACCTAAATGTACAGACAACAATAAAACCGCAATTTGTCGTCATTTCTACTTTTTGGTTTGTTGTTAATTTGTGAGTAATAGAGGCGTTGCTGGTAAGCAGTTTTTGTTCCCTTTAAACAGAAGCAAGCTAGCTGTTTCCAACTGTTTTCAGTTTCTGATGTCTAAGTGTCTACTGGCTAGTTTCACATTTTATGTACAGACATGAGAGTGATTTAAAATCTTTTTAGCTTACTTACAGCAAGAAATAAGTGTATTTTAAGTTTGTGACTGAATGGGAAACTTTATTGTACAAAAGGTTTTTTGCATATTTAATCCTAAACACTTATTATAGAAGCAGCATCCAGGGATTCCAGATACATATATGGACAACTAAAACTTGATTTAACAATGGTTAATTGGTTTAATCATGGTTTTAGCCCGCTGTGTGCGAAGGTCTACTCACTGAAAGCTCCCGTGTATGTGGGCTGGGTGAGATCTTTTGGTACTTTCCTGTAGATATCGAATCTGAGGAGAGAAAGGAAGAAAAGAGGAAAAGTGGGGTGAGAAAAAAACCCACCTCAAACGTAAACACTACGTGCTGAGAAAAGAAGCACACTCTGTACCCATAAGGCTGTGCGATATTACAGAAGAGTGGTGGAATGTTAGCTTTGGACCAACGCCATTACACATAGCAGGTCCAGACAGCCAGCCGCAACACACACACGCAGTTTTTACAGGGTTACACCTCTTCCTTTTGAATGTGTGCTCTGTAATTCTGACCTAACCCCAACAAAAGGTCTCTGACACTCATATACACACAAAAAAAAAAAACACAAAGCTGACAAAAACACACCAGAGACACCAATGAAAAAGAGACACACTGGAGTGTAAACACGACTGCAGTAACGGCTTCAAATTACACGATTTGATCTTCTTGGCACTGAGTGGAAGTTACAGTACAATTACATACAGTAATACCAGCAGTGAGGATTCAGATTGCAGATTTATTCTCATCCAAATCATCAACGTAACATTTTTGGAACTGACTGCGTGTAAACCGTGCGGAGGACGATCATTACCACCTGCAGTAATCAATTTCTCGTCTTGTGAAATACTGTTGTTGCCTGTTTGGGGAGCGGAAAAGGGGGTGAATAATCTGCTGCTCAACACCAAAACTATTTAGGTTCATGAGTTCTTGTGCATGTCCTTTTTGGGCAGTGAAACATTTTCAACCCCAAACTCCATCGCTGACTGCACAAACCCCGCCCACTCCCTCCTCTTCTCATCTCCCCTCTCACACTCGCTCTCCTTCCAAAAACACTCACATTTTGTTCACATTTCTTCCACCGAGAGCAGCCAGTGAAATAATCACAGCTGATGCAATGCAGGGTGGGGGAGGAAGTGGGAGGGGAGGGCTTCCTGTCCAGCCCTGACCCCACTGCTTCTCTTGTTTTGCCCCAGCTCCTGCTTTGTTTTTATCCCTGGATCCTAAACACCTCATCCAGCTTCCCCCCGGATCTTTCTCTTTCTGATCCATATCCATCTATAAATTCCTGTGCCTGTGTCCCATTAGTATTAGATCATTGTGTGCTAATAGCTGGCCTGGCGGGATATATAGGGCAGACAACATAAGAGAGAGGCTGGGCGGGGAGCTCAGAGAGGGGTCGCGCTGTATCGGGATCAGAATAACTTCAAGGGTAGCACACTTCCTGAATGTGCGGTCTCTCTTTCCTCATGTCCCCTCCACCCAGCCACAGCCCTCACCTCCTGAGACCACCAGACAGGTGGAGCACAGTGATACACCATCTTTCAGGCATCAGGTCAAGGACTACATGCTCCCCCTGTGGAGAACATACATGAACTGTGTTGTTAAGAAACGATCTTTGATTCAACTCCAAACCGCTTTTGTGGTCAAAGTGGTCAGGATAGAAAGAAGAACTATGCTATGTTTGGGAGATGAAAGTATTTACCCATTGGTAACACTATTATGGAATACATTAGGAAGAGTTTCTCTCTCAGAGACCCCCGGGGGAAGCTTCACAGTGTCCCTATAGCATGACAAACAGCAAACAGCTGATTTGTCACAGTTTTATCTACATCTCTATCCGACACGCATATTTTTAGCAGTCACACTTTCCCACTGCTAAATTTGAATGTGAGCGATATCTCACGTGAGGTGGAATCTGATGCACTGAGCTGTAAATGGTCTCAGATGGACGTATGTAGACAGTCTGGATGTATGAAGTACAAGACACACGGTCTGAATTATACTTGACGTTAAAGGGTTGGAGATATAGACAAAATTAATAATATGGCATCACTGTCTTCATATTGATATGATACAATATTTATTCAAGTATTATTATACAGTGGCCTCCCACCCAGTAGTCTAATACATAGTGTAACCACATTATTTGCTGGTAAACAGACAGAACTGTAGTTTTGAATATTCATTCATTTATTATAGAATTACTATAAGTTTAATTCAATAAATAATCAATTCAAAATAACACAGAGAGGCCCGCACAGCACAGCTTCTTGTATTATGTGCAACCACGTATGTTAAAGTAAATAAAGGCTTAGAAGATAGAAAGATTGATGCTTATAACACCAAAGAGTATGATAGTACATATTATGTTTGTTGAATTACAAATATATCATTGTAATAAGTGATTTACCTGTAATATGTTTAAGGATATATTAATGTATATATTCATATCTCAAAGTACCATTTAACTGCAGTCTATGTAGTACTTTTGTTTATAAATGGACGTTTATGTAGATTCAGTCACATTGAATAAAACAATATATGATTTCATTTGCCCAGTTGACACAGACAGTTGCACATTGCAAAACAATGACGTCAAAGTCGTGTCTACGCTGCTGGAAACTTACACCAAGAAAGAGTCATCGTGGAGAGGAAGAAACAGTCCAAAGCGTGGCCTCATTCCATGAAGAAACTCAAGCTACTATAACTGTACTCTTTATCCAAACAGTGTTCAGACTCAGAGATAATAAAGGAATCAATAAGGGACAAAGAATCTGACCGATAAGCAGAATCATCATATTAGTATCTAAAAAATCTCCTTAGTTCCCAGATGGTAAGGCTGTCGCAGCACTTAAATTATATCATAACGCAATAATTAAATGTATGTATGAGAAATGTATGTGAATTAATATACTTTAACATCGAGGTTGACATAACAAAACAAAAAAAAGGTTTCCTGATACATTCAGTGAGGTGTATTTCTTTGAAGCCTTGTAATACATAATGTTAAATTGTTATATTTTTTAAATTTGTTCAAATATAGTATTTTAGAATATACTTTTGCCAAAAGTGCACAGAATATTAATACTTCATCTACACCGTAGATACACTCAGGTATTACTTATTTTTAGGTTTGATGAGATCTCAGTTTCACTTCATTTCCTCGCCTGGGAACACTTTGTCTTCATGAATATTAATGTTGACTCTTGAGAGTTCACCTCTCGGTCCATCGCTGATGTTTGTAATTTCCTGAATTACAGTCAACATGTCTCCCTCCGTCACTTCCCCCACTGCTCAGTCTTCTGTAAAAGAGGCTCATGTTTTGTGATTAGTGAGTACGTGGCGTACCAGCATCTTTCTGTTGACACCACGGAGCCACTTTTTAAGGGCCCTTACCAAATACACCATATCTCGCACATGAGTCATAATGAGTCAATAGTTTATCTCTTTCTTGTATTGCTGAGTAAACCTACATTACAGACAGTTAAGGTTCTTCTTTCTGGCACATGGTCATATCACATCACAAGCTATTAGCAACAGCGTTCTTTATTTAGGTTTCTATTAAGTCATCTGTATGCGTAGTGTACATCAAGTACCAAACAGTCACCCGTCACTGTCAAGATGAAGAGATATGACATTTATTGACACTGAGCATGTTTACTGAGGCTCTAAACTCACCATGATCTAATCAGCGCAGGAGCAAACACACCACATCACCAGGTTAACCACTGTGTCAGTAAATGACATAATCTGAAGGTCAATTAAACTTGGGGATAAAAGCCTTACTCCACTCGTTTATTCATTCAGAAAAGGTGAATCAGTAGTTCTGAATGAGATTATCTTTGTTATTAGATCTTTGTGCAGAAACTATACTACTGCTGAAACACCATTCAAAAGCAAAAGAAGAAGAAGAAGAAGATATACTTTTATTGATCCCCTAGGGGAAATTGTTCTTTTGCAGCCTGAAATGGCACGACTTCCATGGCACTTGTACATGCAATGACGGGGGGGGAGATGGAGGATGATGGGGCTGCAAACGTTGAACGTGCCCCGTGAAGCAGTTTCGGGTTAGGTTGCTGCCCTTCAAAGGGGCACCTCCGGGATCGACAGGAGGTGAAAGCTGCACCGTCTCCAGCTACCCAGTCCACAGCCAAATATTTTGTGTTTTGGGACTGATCTAAACGCGGACGCCTTGGGACTTCTACCGGTGACCCTCCGGTTCCCAAGCCAAGTCCCTACAGACTGAGCTACTGCCGCCCCTAAAACAGAAACCCTGCACGCTCTGTCGTAACTCATCACAGTGTTATTGCCATTTTAGGTCATGTACCAAAAAAAAGGCATTTATAGTACATTATATATACGTGTGTGTGTGTGTTTAGACATGACAAGCGACGAAGATTTTAAGAGGGCTGTGAACGAAACTCTACGATTCAGATGAGAATGCAGTCAACCTGTTTGAAACATTGCAATTTCAGTGTGGATGCAAACTGACATAAAATTAATCAACAATCTTTTGATGCTAAAAGGAAAGCCCTTTAAATACTACAGAGGACAGAAAACCAATAAGCACATGGAAAGCATATAGCCTAGTTTTTATGCTGCTTTGACATTACTGTAGCACCGTGGTTTCATTTTAAAGGATAAAGCCAGTGATATTCTACATTTCATTCCAAAATCAATGAGTTTATCCAACTAAAGTACTGCAACAAGTACCCCAATATATGTACACAAATCTGCTGCCGTAAATACTCCCTAAATCTGTATTATTCCACAGCAGAAAATAGTCCTCAACAAATCGACTAGGACAGCTTGAGAGATGGACAGGAAATGGGGAGAGAGAGAGGGTGTATGACACATAACTGAGGGCCACAGGTCGGATTCAAACCCCTGTCCGCTATAAGGTCTATACTTAAACTATAGAGCCTATAACTTGTAGATTTTAATTATAATATTTTATTACAAGTAGCCTAACATTAGCTTTTTACTTCTGACTTCACAGAGCTTACTTTGTGTACTAGATCCCACTGGCTTATTTGTAAGAGGAAGATTGGGTGATGGTAACTTCAGGGTTGGCCTAAACAAACAAAACAAACGTCACCCCTGCCGTAATCTATTCGCAGGAAAATGACTGAGTCTTCTTTAAAATTAAATTATATACTGGTGAGCTGTCTCTTCAAATATGTGCCTTCGGTATGAACCTTTGATCTTGGGGCTGAGTGCCACAAACAGGAAGTAATGAGAGATATACTAACAGAATGATGGTTTTGGTCTTTTAACAGGATTTGTTGACAATCATAAGAAAAAATAAGAAGAAATCTGTAATTCTTTAACACTGAATAAACTTCTGATGTGGCAAATACATTCAGTAGTACAATACAGCATTCTGGGAACACATGCTACCCTACGCGTGGCGCAATCTACGGTAATCTATGTTGTTAGACACTCACACCGCTGACTAACATCCCATAGTATTTCTGAGTGGGCGAAACCTCAAAAGAACTTGGTAGTTGGTCAATCGAGCCATTTCCAGCTGTTGCAATGCAGGTTTTTGTACAGTCTGGGCACCAAGTGAGTGAATATCTAAACAGCACATGACCACTGTGTAACCCCATTACACACCCGTTCTCACACAACCCTCAAACACAGGTCATACTGTAAGAAGTGTAAACGAAGGTTACGCCAGATCCTGTATGTTGGCGAATTCCTTCTCTCATTGCAACACAGCTGTGGTCTGTAGGAAAGACCACTGTGAGAACAGAAAGTTCATGCATGTTATCTCGAGCTGCAACTGAACATCAGTTACATTATCAGAATCAGAATCAGAATCAGGGGGAAATTACTTAAATCAGTTACCAAGGTTACATCTACAAATATTTTCAAATTAGAAATTGTCCAAACAGTCCAAAACTAAAGAGAACAGAGAACAGTCCTCACACT